ACATGTAGCGAGTTGTTTCAAGATTGATATAGACATAAAAATTACAGTACATGTACATGTTTAGCAAAAATTAAACCCTTTATAACATCACACTTATCTTATATATAAAATATATCAATACTATTTAGAAAATAGATCTAGTTTTGTATTTTTTTTCTTCATTTTGAATATTACAAAAAATATATGTTCAGATAATTCTGATCTTTAAAACTTTGCCCCAGGAACATCATCTTATGTTAACTTTACAGAAAATGCTATCATTGTTTACATGTTGTTTGTACGACCTTCTAAGATTGTGTGTATACGTAGTCCACACAGCAGTTATCAGTGACGTGGTGGTAAATCTCTCCTATAGCCTCCACCGATTAGTATCCCCCACTGTTATTGCTTAAATGAAAGGGTCTATAGGTACAGCTCTCTGTCTACTTGCTTATATAAGTCAGATGCTCTCGTGAAGAATGTGCAAAGGGAATTTTAGGGGGAAATATTAGCATTTTTTAGGGAGAAAATACCTATTCGGCTGTAAAATACAGGAGAAAAATCACTGGATTTTGTCACAGTTTCATAATTTCTGTTGATAATAATATAATTGTGTATATAGACTTTACATAGATAGATTTATTTCGGTATAGGAAGGTAAGTAGCATTTTATCAATTTATTTATTAATTTTACTTTTCGTATTTTGTTAACTAAAATTTTCTATCAATATAATCTCATTATTAGTTTTATGTTGAAATTGTTAGAAATAAAAATATTTTATTGATGTTATTATAATAATCAGTTTATTTAATTCAAATACTAAAGAGACAGTAGTAAATATTTTAACTGATTTCACAAATGTTGATCTATTCTTTTTATGAATAAAGAATAGTTTACGATAATTTTAGAGACAAATATTATGATAATTATGTGCTTAGAAATTGTATGGTCTGTGGAATTTAATGATGTACTATGTACAAATAAAAGAATGTTCCGTTCTATTCTTATAATTAATAGTTGGTCCTTTACTTTTTTAATTACAATATTAAATAACCTTTAATTCTCAAACTGAGACTGACTAGGGCATTTTAGAGATATGTTATAGGTATGATAAAAAAATTGTTTCTTTCTTGAAATCATAAAATAATGTGATTAGCCGTTTGTATCTTAAACAATTTTGCTAGTATTTTATGTAATTTATGACTTTCACAAATGTCCATGGTGTAAGTTGCCAAAGGGTGATATACAAGCATCTAATCAGTGAAATAAACACTGACCTTCCAATAGACAGCTTGACACTGATAAGATTAGATCCTATCCAGGCATTGTCACATAATACTAAAACATAAGAATCAATATTTAAGTATCAAAGGAAGACTTTAGACTTCAAAGACTTGCGTTCATTGAATGCCGCCTTTCAAAGACTCCTAATTATCAAGGAAAATAAAAATACCTTTTTCTTGTGAATAATGCAAATTTTAAAGTGGTTTGCCTCGTTAGTAAATTATTTAAAAGAAAAAGAAAAATAGGAAAATAAAACACGTCAAAAACATACTTATCTTAAAAGTAGGAGTGTTCAAAATGAAGTTTAAACTTTGGACCATGATATAATGTTTTACTTGAGTAACAGATTAAGAGATATGTCTGCGTATTTTCACAAGTTATAGATATGTATCTGTGGAAGTTTAAGAAAGTATTCCATGTACTGTTGTAGAGGAAGTGGATTGAAATATACAAAATGCCTCCTTAGATTTAAAACCTGTTTTTAAAAATAAAACATTAAAAAATCGTGTAGTTATTAATTTAACTGTTATACAGCTCTGCAAGAGAAGTCCGAAATAGATAATCTTCTTCATATACATGTACTAACATTCAACAAATGAAATAAATTTCAAAAAGTACTTTATGTGTTGAAAATAGCTTGTTTTTTATCATTCCAATAAAACTGTTTCCCTCTTGTACAAAATAGAATTGTCATTACCCTTTATTATAATGTTCAACATTGTATACTTTGATTGCGAATTTTTATTTACCCTGGGGATCCCTTTCACAGCAGGATTAAGGCACTAAAACGGTTTCTCTAAGTAAACACCAATCTACAGCATGATTTTTAACACTATAATTATATAAAAGTATTTTCGTGCAAACTAAATATCATTTAATTAAAAAGATCATAATGAAAATATAAACACAAGCAGATTTATAAAAAATGGTTTTTTAAAGTTAAATAATATCTTATTTTTTATATTAGTAAAACACATTTAAAGAAGTGTATTATTTGGGACAACAACAAAACGATATCATACTTTACATAATTTTATTTTATAGGCATACATAGTGGCATATGTAATTTATCTCACTGAGTAATGTCTTAGTTAATCTTTGGCATTTTATGGGCACGACTCCATTAATAAAAGCCAAAAGGTTTGGATACCGGGCATACAAAACCCTGTTAGGGCATCCATAGCAAAGCAAACAAATGACACAAAATCAAAAACAAGCAAATGGAACAAACTGTATAGCTTTTTGGAACAGTATGTTCTAGAAAATCATTGATCAAAGCTGTTCAAAGCAATACTAGTCTTTCAATTCTTCATTCACAAAATAGTGAATTTTCACAATGTATATGAGCAACAACACAGCATTGGACACTGTTGCTCGAATTGGTTTCTGGGAAGCAGAAACCAGTATCGCCAGTATCACAAAATGTCTATTCCGCCGGCCGCAAAATGCAAATTTAGCAGACACACAACAAGTGAAATCTAGTATTTGAAAGTTCATAGAACACATCTCTGGAGTCGCACCGTTGTCGAATTATCTCTGCTGTGGTTTTTGGCCCAAGCAGTTTTTCCTAAAGATACCTCTTCCGTGGTATTTAGTAGGGCTAGCTGTCTTGAAACACGTCGCTTATGTTTGCTAATCTTGAAAACATATCAAAAGAGGACAGAAACAACGAAACAAGCATGACGCTAGTATTAAATTTAAGCTCAAATCTTTACACTTCACACTTATAATTGACCGAGGAGGGCGGGTGGGTTTTTTCAACAATTCATTTCTTCCATTGTTACAACATTCGACGCCAGCGCGTTAAAAGGATATGACGTAGATACAGTACCTACGTCATAACCAGGGACCAGGGTATAAGTTGTTCCCCAAATAGCAGAGACTATTCTATAGAAATAGTCATCATTATTTGGACAACAACAAAAACGATATCAGATACTTTACCTAATTTTATTTTTATAGTCATACATAATGGCATATGTAATTTATCTCACTGAGCTAATGTGTCTTAGTTAATCTTTGGCATTTTATGGGCACGACTCCATTAATAAAAGCCAAAAGGTTTGGATACGGGGCATACAAAACCCTGTTAGGGCATCCATAGCAAAGCAAACAAATGACACAAAATCAAAAACAAGCAAATGGAACAAACTGTATAGCTTTTTGGAAACAGTATTGTTCTAGAAAATCATTGATCAAATCTGTTCAAGCAATACTAGTCTTTCAATTCTTCATTCACCAAAATAGACAATTTTCACAAATGTATATGAGCAACAACACAGCATTGACACTGTTGCTCGAAATTGGTTCTGGGAAGCAGAAACCAGTATCGCCAGTATCACAAAATGTCTATTCGCCGGCCGCAACTAGACTTCGGATGGTGAACGGGAGATTTCCCGTTTTCCAGTCGAAGGCTCGCCAATAACATAAAATATTGGCTTCGCCAATATCATATTATTATTGGCTCCGGCGAATTGATACTTAAAAAAAATTAGTCGTGCTAGCCATTCTATGATTTATAATACAACACTGCCATGTAGGTAATTCAACTTTAGCAAATAAAGCAGCATTCCAACAAATATGGGCAAAATATACTTGGCGCTTCATTAATCCCAATTATTACACTATCTAAAAAGACCAATAATTTGGGTTACGTAACCATCAAGATCTCGAGTTCAGTGCCATTTCTCCTGACATGGGAATTTACGCAAAAAACATTCAAAACTGCTCCAAAATGTGCTAGCTAAATGTAATATAACATTTTGACAGTGCCTTTTTTCAGAGATATTAATTTAGGCAAATAAACGTTCCAAAACTGCTTCAAATATGTGCCTAGAATACATGTATCGCAATAAGTGCATTCAATCAAACCCGGAACTAGTAAATTATGCATCAACACGTCAACTTTTCAATATACAATTTCCTGAACCATTCCTTATGCCATAGGTGTTACCGGCAGCGCTGAACGCCCACCACCCCACAACCCTATCCCAACCCCCAAAAAACCATGTAAACTGCCGTATTTTTCATTTGAAACATGTTTTTAATATTTGGTTATATGCTTTTTAATTCAAATTACCCTTCATTTCCACCAAAAAATTTAAAAAAAATTGATTTATATATACATATTTAGTAAAGGTATGCAACTCGCTGCACATTTTCAGCACTCATCTTAATATGAACTCCATAACTCCAACGTTTTTTCACCAATTTTCAATATTATGGTTCTGAAAGGTTGGAGGGCCGCAAAGTGGGGCGAGGGGCCCCGGGGGGCAGCCACCAACCAACGCGCCGAAAACATATGCCCAATTACAATAGTGACCATCAAGATCGTGAGACCTGCATGACTCTGAGGGCAGATATTTCCAATTGCACTCCAAGGGTTTCGAATCCTTCCAATTCAACCAACATGTTTAATAATATTACAATTAATCAGGTTTCCATTTGTTTTTTTAATTCGCATGATGTAAACACTTACGCTCCATGCGTATAGAAAACTAGCAACAATTTAATGCATCATATCTTCGACAAGGCAGAACACTGATATTACATTTTAAGTATGCTTAGCAGCTATTGTCATTAGAATAGCATGCAATATTAACGTGTTAGAAATTGTCCTAATTTTTTACCCCACAATTGTACATAGGTTGCCACAATTGTACATAGGTTCGAGCTATATTTTTCAATTTGCAGCATTTTCACACCACCCATCCTGGTCAGTCCTGGACTGTCTTTCTTACAACTGTGTGAAGCGCTTATTTAAAATAGGTACTTATACTAATATATCTTAACTGAGCTGTAAAAAGATTCGAAACAATTAATAGATTTCATGGAATATTACTAATAAAATATCTTTATTGGCCAAAACATACTAAATTCCCAAACTCCAAGAATAATGGTTTAAGCTTTTTGTTGGACATAAATTCTACTGCCAGTGTTATAAGCAATTACACAAAATATTCTTTCACTGGTCAGTTTGCAGCATCCAGCTATACTGTCAGTTAAAAATTGTTTGATTCTGTATTGGTAATTAGTCAATTCAACCAAAATTTTAAGAAAATGCCTGCACTTGGCAATTTTATTATTGTTTCACTTCAGTATTTTGTATATTTATCAAAATTTGAAATGGTTAGATGAAATTGTTTGATTTTAAGGATGAAAGTATATACCGTACAAAAATTTTGTTTCTATGTAAAATACGAACATTTTTTTTTACCATTTGCAAGGTAAAGGTGAATATAGAGGCCAGAGCAGAACGTGACATATGTTTAAAAGTCACTTAAGCACAGTGTTTAGTTGTCCCTTTCCTTTTCACACTGAATTGCATTTCCAACTAGTTTGCTTCTTTCAATTATATAAATTTTCTTAAAATGTTGCATACAATCAAAGTAAATATCCGCTATAATGTGTACTCCCTAATCGCTTGTCCGAAAGTCAGCACAGGTGATGGAGTGGTGATTGGGTAAAATCTATTTTTAGAACAGTGTTATCTTCAGATGGAAGGCTATTACAACATATATAACATTACAGTTATCCATGTTCCAGGCAAAACATCCCGGTCAGTGATTGTTTATATCGACAATTTATATCAAATTCGCAGTCAGAAGTCGTTCAAGGACTTGACACATATGTTCACACTGTATGTAAACAACTCCACTTCACTGATCAAAGATTCCCAACAATTCTCAGAAATAACAAGCCGTGATAAATAAATGGTTATTTTAAAATAAACAAACAAACAAACATTGAAGGTTTCCAACAGGAAATATCAAGATTCCCATCAGATATTCTTGAGTTCTGGAATCATAGGGATGAACTTAGTTATGAAAATGGTCTTATATTTCATATTTTATATTTCGAGGTCAAAGAATTGTTATTCCTGAAATTATAGGTCAAATACACACTGGCCATTTTGGTGTAAACAAAACGGTTGAGCGTGGGAAAGAAAATTTCTGTTGGCCAGGCATGATAAAGCAATTAACAGAATTTGTTTTACAGTGTAGAACCTGTTTCTCGCATCGTAATTCAAATGCAAATGTAAATATTGACTATTTGCCAGGTACGCGAATCGTGATACAAAACCTTCGTGCACACATGTCTCGATACGGCATTGTAGAGATAACGGACCGCAATTTTCGTCAGCGGAATTTGCCGAGTTCGCGGGAAACGTCATCGCCATTTCAAATGAAAAAGTTGAAAAAAGGTGTGTCGATTGCTAAGAAAACTGTAACTGTGGCAAAAGAATCTAGTCAAGACCCATATATATGTATTTTAGAATACAGAAACACATCTTTAGAATGTGGTTACACCCCAAATCACTTGTTAATGGAATGGAGGACAACCTAGACTGTTAGTCCATCAGTGGTTAAAACAAAATTGCAGAAAATTAAGTCAAAACAGAAATATTATTATGATAAAAACACAAAACGTCTTAAGTCCACTCAAATGACCCAGTTCGTTTTTAGTTTGGTAAAAAATGGGTACCTGGAAAGATTACTTCAAAGAATGGAGAAAGGTAAAACATGTAAAGACACAAAATGGCACAATTAACTGCCGCAATAGACAATTTCTAATTAAAACCCAAAAAAATCAATAACCGATTTTCTCCCTAATGCACTTGATTAACAGTTCGCACAAAAGATCAAATTAGCTAATAATAGTTTCCCATAAAAGAGTGACCCTTCTATTAACTCAAAACCACATGTGGTAGTTATGTTACACGGTCCGGGAGAATTGTAAAACCTAGTACTCGTTATCAGAATGATACGTATCAGAAGTAAACTGACTGATGATTATATCTGATAAACAATCATTGTGTAAATAAATAGATTAGTTCCTAATAACAGTAGGGGAAATTGCCCGTTCGGGAAGTCAGTTTTGGGGTTTTCCCTACTTCCTGACCTGGAAGATGGTTACTATATTTGGTAACAACCTTCCCGTTCGAGAAGTAAAATCACTTGTTTTTGATATGGTTCACTGAAATGACCCGATGCATAAGGATTACATCCGATCTTAAAACTGAAAATGCCATTTAAAATTAGAAAAATATATCTAACTCTTTATCGTTCAGATTTTTTAAAAGTTTCGTAGTACACTGTATTTTTTATTTGATATTGAAAATGGTCATTTTCTGCAGAAAATGTAAAAACTCAGAGCTTCCCGATTTGAAATAAAAACTTCTCAAATGGAAAACCAGATTACAAGGTACTTCCCAATCGGGGAACTCATTCAACAATTATGGCGTCTGGTAAATTTGTTAAAAAGTGTTGTAAAATTTTTAACCACAACATGAAATGTCGAACGACACATAAGCCCTCCTTCTAGCCCTTGAATCATATTATTGGTAATTTTGTTATTATAATAGAAACATGCCATAAATGGGTATGTGAGAGTGTTCTCAGTTATGGAAAAATAAAAATAATGACCAATATATAACCTGAAACTGAATGAAAACTATCATTAGAATAATGAGCGGAAACCATTTTGACGTTTAATGGCATTCTGACATTGACCTTTGACCTACTGACCCTAAAATGAAAAATGGTCATTTACTAGTTATGACCAATCAGATTGTGAAATATGTTTTTACGATAATTAACTGAAACCACGTGGTCTACCAACATATGAATAATTAATGTGTAAAATATGAAGACTTTGTGATAAATGCTTTTTTAACTTAACGAGCGTAAACCATTCTGACATGGAAGGCCCCTTTGACCTTGACCTTCGACCTATTGATCCCAAAATCAAAAAGAGGTCATATACTACATATAGTTATGAGTAATCAGTATATGACATATGAAGACTTTGTGATAAACAGTTTTTAAAATAATCAGCGGAAATGATGTGGTCTACCAACAGTCCGACAGACAGACAGACAGACCGACTTTAGCAAAATAATATACCCCCTCGTCTTCAAGGGGAGGGGGCATCATAAATGGAATGTAAATGAAGATCAAGTTATCAGAACCAGACGTAATATATCAAAATAAGCTGATCAATTGAATTTTTTCTTTGAAATTTCAGATAAACTTGTTGTGTTCTACACACCATTGAGTAGGTGAAATATGAGTGATACAGAGAACAATAGCGACACGGAAGATGATGAAGACTTAGACAATCCTGATTACAAGAACTGGGTCAGAGCCGCCAAGGGCCTAGAGTATCTACAACAGGGACTTGCTCCTTTTGTTTCTACCGAAATCACTGAAAACGTCACAACTTTTTTTGAGAGACTGCGTCTCGCATCGGGACAAGTTAATTGCAATCAATGCAATAAAGCAAATTTATTTGCCGACCACCCTGGCGGAATATGTATTAGCAGATATAAGAACAAATGTTACTGTAACATACAAATAAACAATAGAAGGCTATGTCCAAATGGAGTTTGCAGTAAGCTGTATCACTTTATTGTCCAGGAACATAGAAGTAACGATCCACTCTGGCGGAATTCAGACATTGCAAAATGGTGCTCCGATGTATGGTTTGTAGCAAAATGCTTCATGACATGTTGTAGTACCGGCAATTCAGCACAGTCTACGGACGCTGCAGGACTCCTTAGTATTGTTGTTAATGCAAAATTCTTCCAACCGAGGTTAACATGTAGGATAGATCCTGGGAAAGATGATTTTTCTAAGGTACTCACTAGTATGTCGTTTAGTCTATATATTTTCACGTTTTTCCAATTTTTGATTTCCTGCATAAGTGTTTAATGGTCGATAAGTTACATCTTTGTAGGTTTTTGGATATTGTTTCTGTCATCATTACTTTATACTAGCTGAGATCTGGTAAAAATGTCTCCTTTATCGCGAAATGTATCATGTGTGAGGACTTGCCATGCCCAAAGAACGTCCAAATGATAATCGAAAATATTGGGTGTTTCTAGTCGTTCTGTGGGTTTTAATAAGGATAATTGCATTTTTTAAAAATAAAAAACGATAACAAATAAGTATTAGACATTGAAAAAATAACAAAGTTTTAAATAATGTAGGTTTAGAATTGGGATAGACTCTATTATAACTCCGAAAAAATCAATGAAAGGCAACCGCTTTTTATTTTAATTAAAAATAAACAAAAAGAGGTTATGCAATTAATTCGTATAATCTTATAATAATTTGCAAAAAAAGTTCTAAAAACTAAACAACAAAAGAAAAACTAGCAAACTATTGTTTAATAGCTATCAAAATGACCAGACAAGTTATAGGAAAATTAATAGCTTTACTAGTGTGTCTATTTATATACTTTATATTTGATAAATTATTATGTCAATATATATGTCAATGTTTAACATAAGTATATATTCATTTTTTCAAGGCTCGGAATGCAAGAAACGAAATACTTCACAAAGCAGAAATAAAGTTGTCTGAACAAGAATTATTTCACTACATCGACCTGTTTGTAGCAGTGTTACACGATCCTAAAACACTTCTTAAAGATAAGAATGCACAAGATGCTGTTAAAAAGTTATTGAAAGTAAGTATTTAATCTATTCTTAAACCAGGGTCTTCCAAAAAAGGTAAGTAATCTATTTTCATTACTTTTTCAGCAAGTTCCGAGGGATCACTTTGTTTCCAGATGTTAATATATTTCGCTTATTTAATTGATGCACATTTTTTCATGCAGTTTTGATTTCATTCATTCAGTTGAAGGACAATCAAATTCATATAAGCATGGGGGAGAAGAAGAAAATTCTACTGGATACGGAAGAGGCATTGATAGCCTTGAAAACAATCGGAGAAGAAAAAGCTATAGGGAATATTAGCACCACAAAAGATGTATCCATTCAATGCATTAAAGACAAAAAAGTAGAAGTTCTAGATGACCTTGAAAAAGTCAAAGCAGATGTTATTTCTGGCAGTGAAATAGAACAGAAAATTATTAAAACAGTTGAAGATGTAGCAGTGATAGATGAAAGATTGAAACATGTAGAAGAATATCTAGAAAACATCAATAACCAGGTAAAGTCGCTTTTTTAAAGAAACATAGTATTTGATGTTGATAAGAATCTGAGAAGTTATAATATGTTCTAGTATTTTTTATTCATTACCTTGTATTTATCATGCCTATGGTTAAATTCAAAATAGTGATGAGAACAACAAAACTTTGTCACGCACTTAAAAGACTTAGTTTCCTTGAAGGATTAATAAGTAGTGATAAAAATAAAACAAACATCATCGATACATCTTTCTGTCACATTTTAATTTATTGTAGGAAATTGATCGTTGTATTTCGAGAAGTCATAGCAAAGATGAAAGTCAAGACACAGGTCAGTTATGAGATAAATGTTAACAACCGAAAAAAGTTCCTTATGCAAATAACTTTCATCCTTTATTTATTTTATTGCAATAGTTTTTTTTTATATATGATAATCATATATAAACTCGTATATAATCAAACATCAGTGAAAAAAACTAGCAGGATATCGAACGATATATAGCGTTAATGCTGTGACCAATATAGAGATAAAGAATCCCTAAGTTGTGATTAATACTCCGCAGATCATTATTTGCAAATTTCTTTATGAAAATTGTTTAATTGCTATTTGAAAATGTTTATGGTTTTAACTTGCGAATGCAGACAAAAAGTAAAGTTAATTATCATTTTAAAACAATTGTGTGTTGGATTTATTTTTTTTATATTTGTACTGTGTATATATACATTTGTTTTGTTATGAAACAGGAGCTGCAAGTGAGCATTATTACGGAAGCACCAAAATAAAGACAGGTATATACATTTACATGCATAACGTCACCTTATTGCAATAACTGATAAACTCCTATTATATTTTGAAGGATTTCTTCCGTTACTGTGCTTAAGGGACGCAAAGGTAATATTAAAAGAAAGCATTGATTTAAGTATAGGTATGGTATAATTGATTAAAGCATAGATTTGAATAAAATTTTAGATTATTTATTTGACCTCCACTCTCAAGTCCTCTCCATAATTAAGCAGTACTGGTGTTATACTCATTAAACTAGTAGAATCGAATCTGCAGTCCCTCGATTTATAAACAGACACCTTAATTATTTATCAAATAGACTTAAGTTTATTAATTACAAATATTTGGTTGTAAAACAAATAGATAGAGGCCACTCCCTTTCAGTAACCTCCTGATGCAATCGATTAAATTGTATATAACAGTCCATAAAATACATGACATGAACTCATTTAGAACAAATTTAACCGATACAATTAATATTAGTAAAAAATAGTAAAGTGAAATTCTTTATAAAACTTTTGACAGAGATAAAATAATTTTGGAAACAGGATGTTCATGAAGCCCGAATGCTTCCAAACAGCTCTGTTGTACCACATGTATGTTTGATCATATTATTATAGATGAAGATACAATTGTAAATGTTGAGGATACTGATGTTTCATTGAGAGATTATCATAAAGAACTTGCTCAAGAAGGGTTGAAGGGAGCAAATGTGGTAATAATGGCGCCTACAAACTCTGGAAAGACACGAGTGGCGTGTAAAATAACGCAGGTAAAATCAGAGCGTTGGTGTTCAAATACTCATTGAAAATAGGATGTTGATAAACTTCATGTTATAAGATTTTTGTTTAAACTGTAAAACGAAAAAAGAATTTGATATTTATAAAAAGTTAAAAACATATCGACGACTGGTCTCTAATTTTTTGTGACATATAGATTATGTCATTATTGACAAGCAGATGACGCATGACGGTAATGATTAGTTTCTCATTGTTCCAGGAACATTTACGAAGAAAGAGAGACGGAAAAGTTATATTTTTAGTGGAGAACGAAACTCTAGCCTATCAACAAGGAAAGGTGTTCAGTAAACTCCTTCCCGCTTATAGGACAAAGGTGATCAGTGGAACCGTTCAAAGAGATAAAAAGATGTTTCTTAAAGACTTCATACACATGTACGTTTATTTAAACTTTGTTAGACTTTTATTCTTTTGAGTATTTTACAACTTATTTCCCATCTAATTACCACTTTACAGATGCTTTAAAGTTGATTATGCTCAAACGATTTGTAACGTTATACAGACTGTTTACAAGATCAACAACTGATATAATTAATTTACTTAGTGTGTTCTATAAAGAACTTATTCTTACTTGTGTAATAGTGGTCAGATTCTATGAGAATCAATGCTCTTCACGGAGACCAAACGATCACAAAATTATCAGGGCTCTGTTAAATTATGTAAGAATATGTTGAATTATATAAGCGCTGTTGGACTAAACAGCAACAAGTAAATACAACTTTAATCAATGTTTTTAATATTTGTGAAGTTCCTAAGTATACTAATTATTTTTGAAAGAAAAACTCTTATTTAATTATATAACATTTTTGCATTTAATTATGTATTTTCATGTTTGGGTTGATGTAGTAAACGATAATGATTTGATTTGGATTAAGTCAGTCCAAGTGTTTCAAGGCTAAACAAGAGTAGATACAGTATCTAACCTAACAAACAATGCCAAATCCAGCTTATTTATATCATCAACAATTTGATTGGTTGACTTTATAATACTGTATATATTATGTAACTTGTTACAACTGTGTATTTGTTACAACTATTTGTATTTCATAGTCCTGATATTTAATATCTGCACCAGCATTCATTCCGTTAAATTCCGTCTGATATAAAACACATAAACATGTTATATTTAGATATGAAATATCATGCTCCTTACCTATTACGATAATTTCCAATGCCAATTCCATTAAGTTTATATAGTACTAGTAACCAATTCATTATGTTTTATGGTGGTAGATTATAATTTGATGGTATCAGTAACTAAATATCTCATTTATTTTCAGAAGGGACATACTAGTTGTAACAGCACAAATCTTGTTAAATTCATTAAAGACCAAAGAAATTGACAGCCTAGAAAAATTTTCTCTTATTGTGTTTGACGAATGTCACCATGCCAAAGGTTTCCATCGATATAATGAAATAATGGGACATTATATTGATATGAAATTTCAAAATGTTTCACCACTTCCACAGGTGGGTTTTTCTGCAACATTTACAATTTTGCCGGTTTGGACTTTTCTTGGGGGGGGGGGGGTTCCTATATTTACTTTTTTTATCTAATTACATTCTGCATTAGCATTCTGTGAGCACCACTCTCACTCTTTAACTTTTTAACAAGTTACTAAGTTGTCGAAGCAAAATTGTCCATTTATTATGAAGACGGAAAATGAAATAGGTATATAATTGTGTAGCAATAAACGTATGCAGGCATCAGATAATATAAAACAAAATAGAATACGTATATTTGTACGTTCTAAGATATTGACTATTACAGCATTTGCTCACTTTGATTACCATCTTACTCAGAAGGAGAAGACCAATTACCTTGAATTTTGTCTCAAAAACATTTTGATACATGTACATGTATATTATTTATTAATATAAAATTTTCAGGTTGTTGGTCTAACCGCATCGCTAGGCATAGGCGGAAATTCAGATCATAAAGCTGCCATGGATCACATGGAAAAACTTCTTACAAATTTGGACGCTGCATTTCTATGTACTGTTAGACAAAACAAAGAAGAACTTCAAAAAATAGAAAACAAAGCAAAAGAGCGTAAAAAATTAAATTGTTCTATTCATGACATAAATTCATTTTAAAAATACCAGTACAAGGTATTTGACAGACTGCTTTGTAAAGATGATATCTAGCAATGCCAATTGCTCGTTATTACAAAAAACAAGTGCAAGGTTACTGACTCGAAACATAAAATAATGAACTACATGTACAAGTATAAGAATAATCCAACATTATTTCTAACCTAATTTAGATATTGTGGTTACTGAAGGAAGAGTCGACGATTTATACAAGAAAGCGATACTTGAAAACATGCATGCTATTGATGACTACATGATAAATCACCAAAGTAAGTGTAAACCACAAATAATACTACATAAAAATGTACAAAAACGGTATATGATTAGTTCTAAAGATTGTTGACAGATTATATAGCACTATATAAACGGTTGTTTGTAAATATAACCCGAGCCTTTAAGCGAGGGTTATATTGCAAACAACCGTTTCGGTCATATAACCTGTCCACAATCTTTATAACGAATTTATTAAACTGCAAACTTCTTTTTAGAGAAATAAGAGAGATTTCTTTATAAATAAACAGCAGCAGTTTATATAATGACATGTTTATATAAAGCTATATAAACGTCAAGATTATCCAATGAAAATTGACGTTACAAACATGCAGTATATAATCACAGATCTGTCGTTTGATTTGTTTACTTATTTTACCTGATTATCTGAGTATCTAAGAGTGGAATGTTTTAATATATGTGTCACATACTAGACTGAGAAATAAATCAAAATGACATTGGCCATTCGGCAAGATAAAGTAAACGCTTTCATTTTAAGTTAGAATGTGATTTTCAATGGAATGCTAATGTCTATGTTAAGTTTACATTCATAAGGTTTATCGGAGGTTCCCCCAGCGTCAGAACTGAAGAATAAATGTCGAGTCCCATCAACGGCGGGCGATGCGTCTTTCCAAAATTGGCTCAGTGATTTCAAAAAGGCGCTTTGTGATGTCGATTCAAAACGTGTTCGTAGAATGATGTTTCCATGCTTTGAGCATTTAGAGGTATACATTCAGTCAAGCTGTTTATAGCTTTCATGACAACCCTTATCGGAAATTTACAGAACTGAAAAGAAAGAGAAACATGGCAATTTTCTGAGTGTTTTATGGATATGAATAAGCAACGAATTTCTTTGTTATTCACTGATGAGGATGTCCGGGGATGATCAACCTTTTTTAAAAATTTTGTTTAAAGTGTGCACTGCATATGAATGTTTATGTCACATCAATTTGAATAAATGATTTTTTAAAATATATTCGGATACAATATAAGCTTGTAAATTATTAATATAACAGAGTACTGTTTTGACTATTATGTAAATGCAATTAAAGTATTTAATATTTTCTTTACTGTTTAAAGTTCCTATATATACCTTTATGTAATGTCTTTGTTATTTCACTTTATTGATTCAGATATATAATAAATCCTTGATGGTTCATGCTGATGCTAGAATAAAAGATGCGAGAGCAGTTCTTGTGGAATTTATGGAGAAACAATATAAGGCGGACGAAACTTGCGAAAACGAAACTGATAAAATGCTTCTTGAACTATACGAATGTAAGAAATGTATCATACTGGTTTAAAATGATGAAAAGTTTTTCCGTTTACTGAAGTCCAAAATTATCGGTTATTTCGGCAGATATTTTTAAGTTAATTAATCAAATGTTAGGTTGTTATGGATTTGTATATTCATTCATATTTATGTTCAAATTTGTTTCATTTCTTTTGTCTTTTATGTAGAACAGCCATTTTGTTCTTAACTATTGCTTCTTATTGTTAGTTTCTCTTTTTGTATTCATGATCTTTTCATGATATAGAGCATTTTTGCGGTTTTAAGTATAGTTTTGACACCGTGTTGTAGACACCTCGTTTAGAAAAAAAAACCCGTATTTATCTAACAGGTTTGAAAGCCAAATCATTCGACAATGAACCAGAAAATCCTAAACTGTTGAAGCTGGGAGAACTTATCATCAATATTCTTGGAAATGACAAACGTGCAAAAGGGATAGTATTCGTGGAAAGTAGGGATCTTGCAAAAGCTATTAGCAACTGGATGAATGAGACCGACAATCTGAAGCAATTTTATGCCAAGAAATGTGTTGGACAGGCGGTGTCAGTTGATAAAGGGGGTATGTGAATGGTTTAGTCCTTCAGCTTTATGTTGTTATATATTTTTCTCGTCCTTCATGATCTTTGATTTTATTAACTTTTGTTCTAGATAGAATACAGTTAACGTGGTAGTAGGTTGCGTGAGAGGTGAAACACTTTAAAGTGGTTGTCTTGAACAGTATCCCGTTTTCGGCTATTTCTGTTTGCTTTACTTTACTCTGCCTTGAAGTTTTATGTCGGTCACAATTAACTGTTGCTTTCTGATGTCTTTTTCATATATTGTTCGTAGAATGATAATTATTTTGTGAAAATTAATGTCAAAGATGAAATATGTGATGGAAAGAAATCGTTTTAATTTAGGTTGCTATAGTTTACACTAGATAATGTTGACAGATCTTTTTTCACATTGCACCACATAGTTTCCATTTTTATTTGTTAAGTTGTTTTCAATGTTATCTAAAACCCACTACTAAACTATGTTTAGTATTGAACAAAGCCACATTAAATAGATATCTTTTGCCAACATTATTAACAATATTTCGCATAGATAGTTTAAATAGAAATATTCCTTCTTTCTGGTGCTTAATGTGTAAGGAATTTAATTCGAAATGTTATCTGTATTTCGAGGTATGACACGAGCAAAGCAGAGGAATGTGTTGGAATACTTTAGAGGTGGACGTCATAAACTCATTATTGCCACATCTATAGTAGAAGAGGGCATTGACATCACAATGTGTAACCTGGTCATCCGGTATGAGCATGTGACAAATGAGATTGTTCGATTACAGTCTCGAGGTATGCATCAATGAATGTTAATTAAACTTATTGGCATATGATGAATGTCTTTAATTGGTTTGGATCTCTTATACTAAAACTATGTTTATAGCATACTTGCTTATAGCGTAAACTCAGTTTTATGAAGCCGCCATAAAAAGGTCCCAAACTGTTATTAGGATTTTTAAAGTGAACTGTGATAGTTTTTTTTAGTTTCAATTAGTTTCAAACGTTGACGAGCTTGACATACAGACGTACCCCGACAGCTCAAAACATTATGCATATACATTGAAACTTTTACCGAAATGAAGAGCCTAAGCATTATAATAACGACATACAAAATAGAGATTGTAACATGAATTATGTTTACAAACGTTATTGAATGTATCTTCTAATCATTCCTGTAAGTTGTTCGCTTGACAGTTTTATTCGCGATAATTTTACTGTCTATAAGGTACTCATTTATTTTTATTGGTATCGCTTAATTATCTATCGTGGTCCCGACGACTTTGCTTAAATCGAGTTTCACTATGTATCATAAGTTCGCCGTAGATAAATCGTTTATTAATCCTAGGAATAAAGCGATTAATTTATCGCCATTTTAACGCATTTCTTAATTTTGTTTCAGGACGAGCCAGAGCTGCAAATAGCAAGTATTATGTATTAACCGAAGCTAGATCTTGGATTGTAGGAAAAGAGCAGAAGATCGAAATGCTTGAAGATCTGATTAATCAAATTGTACCACAGTTACAGGCTAAAATTGAATCGGATCCACTTGCTTGGCAACAACGTCTGACTGAAAGACAAAAATACATGAAACAACTTGAAGAGGAAAGAAATGAGAGAGATCGCAGAGCAAAAATGGCGCAAGGTGTCAAAGAATTGAAATGCTTAAAATGCTTAAAGTTTATTTGTCTATCTTCTGACATCCGTAGAATCAAAGACACTCAGCATGTTGTCATCGATGAAGATGTGCAAAAACGTATCACCTGGACAAGAAAGCCAATTCCTAAATTCAAGAATGACGACCTTAAATTTGATGGCACTACCTTATGTGGAAACAGCACCTGTAAACAAAAGCTAGGAGGGGTGTGCGAATATATGGGCATTGAGTTCCCTTTGATTGCAATAAGTTATTTTCGTGTCGTTGATGAAAACAATAAAGGTAGAACATTTAAAAAGTGGAAAGATGTAAATTTCGATATTGAAGATTACAGTTTAGAACAATTCCAAGAAATTGTTGATGAGAGAAAGTGATGCTGCTGATTTTCATATTTGGTAATGTTGCAATAACTAACTTTGAAAATTTGAAATGATTATCACCTGACGCAATTACGCTAAATGTTAAATAATTTGTGATAAAGATATTAAAATACAATGTGGAATTTAGACTTTCATAAACAACACTTATTCAGTATAACTGTTCTAATTGTCAAACATAAAAAGCAAGAGATGGGTTAGCTGAAGGCCAGTGAGTAACTGTATTGAAACTGTAACTGGACAATGAAAATAATAAGCTGTTAAAACTAAAACTTATAGAAGTGTTGAAGCTTAATGGCCTTTAAACTACGTTTACAACTTTTCTTAATACAATGAAAATGAATAAATTAAGTAAGACCTTTGACTTTATTACTATATTTATTTTGATTAAATATACTTAAAGTACATAACAAACCCTCCAACATAATAATGAGTAAATGATTTACTAGATATATTACATTTAATAAAAGGTGCAATAAATTGAGATGCTCATATGTTTGTTGTTCGTTTTTTTCTTTTCTTTTCTTTTTTTATAGGTAAGCATTTACCCCGCAAACATTCAAATCCTTTCCCTTTTTTGATTTATTTCTTTGGGGCATATATACATTATCATCATTAATTAATTATGGGTGTCGAAATGCAAAATCTAAATAATGATATAAATGAACTAAATACATAATTTCAGGTAAGTTAAGTAACGCTAATGAAATATTGTCAAATGCGAAGTGCTTACTGCTTGTCGTTCAGCATATGAATAATTTAGAGCAGCAACTTTTATTGCCTGTGGCTTGAACCTGTCATTTTATAATCTTGGCATAAAATGAGAAAAACAGAATCCCAAAAGAACGCCCAAAACGACAAAATTATAAATGTTGCAGGCTCGGTTAAATTGAGCCTATATTGTGACAGTAGTGATTGTGACAGTAGTGATAACTGCAAGCTACCGGCCATGCCCCCGAGCACCGGCTTTAACAGAATTCAATATTATGAAGTCACTATAATACTAAGCTTAAACTCTCTATCGCCATAACTAACGGATATTTTAACGTAAATAATTTTAACGAATCCAGTCAGAAAGTATCAATCTCCACGCAGTGATCTCCCCTTAATTCTTCGGCGTATTCTGCCACGGGGGGTAATCACTGTGAGGAGTTTGAGAAAGGATAACACGGATTTCCTTCTTTGGTTTTAAGAGAACCTTATGATGCTGCAATTGTTTTATTGTCTGTATTGTGCGTATGCGCAGCGTATCCTCATCTTTTAACGCTATTCTATATTTACTTTCAAGTAAGGACCTTTTGATACCAATATCTAGCATAAATCTCGTTTCCTGTTTTTGTTTGGTGTCCTGTTGGTGTCATTGCTGTTGATCCTGTGTTGCGGGGTTTTGTTGAGGGATACGTTCATTTGAGTGTCGCCCTTCCTTGTTGATCTTTTTTTTTAAAAATGTAACCATTTGCTCTTTTTGAATATGTAACCATGTGTACTTTTTAGTGGAAGTCACTCAGCAAAACAATAAATAAACCCACCAAAAATAAACAACAACAAAAAACAAGCAAAACAATAACAAGCATATTTAGCAGAAGATGTAGCTATATGGCAATAGATCAGTCATTTTGCGGCGATATTACCGCCTGCAGATTGTCACTGCTAGGTAAGGATTTACAATGGATTTGCAGATTTCAAAGACAAACGATAATCCAAAAGGGTGTGGGTAGACCAATGTTACTGAGATTATCAATAACTGTACTGTACACATGTTTGTCTGTCCCTATATATAAAACGATACTCATTAGCATTGTGTATTATAACTCTGCACTAATTAATAGTATAACATGTTAAATTGTTGTAGCCATATTTAGTATGTAAATGTCGGCCACATGGGTAAGTGACCTTCTGGTGTTTTGGAAATAAAATCTTTAATCTATATACCAGAAAATATAAATTTAAACTGGTTTTGTCTTTTCACTTATTTCTTTCTCAATGTTTATAAGGAAAATTATTTCATTTCTCCAATTTCTTGTTGATTCAACGAAATGGGTCGGTCAGTTTAACGAGAATGGAGATAAACTTTGATTCCAGTTTTCGGTGTCCTTACCAACTTTGTTTCTTGAATAACTTTATGACTGCGGTCCAACTCTATACGAAATCTAAAACGACAATTGAATTTCCTGTCATATATGGCACTACATTTCAAATATAATAAAAATGTCTTATAACCAGACTAACTGGTCTAACTGGAATATGTGTGCAAAAATATGATAAACAAGATCAACAAGGAAAGGCGGCGTTCAATGAACGCAACCCCCATATGACCCAGCAACAAGAACCAATGGCAAGGAGCCAAGGCGGACCCCAAACAAAAACAGGATAGGGCAAAGACAGGTTAATCATTAAATGATAAATAATAAAACCATGTTCAAAAAGCAATGTTCAATAGATTTGGACAACTTTCAAAATGAATGTACTATATTCAGTTCTA